CACTGCAAAGAATAACTATCCGCGAACCCTGTCGGCAAGTGGAAGATGCTGTACCGTTTGACTCGTCGTCGTCGTCTTCGTCGACGTCGACGCTCCCCACCCCCTCTCCCTGGGCCCGGCGCCGCTCCTCCTCCCCTTTCCTGGGTCCTCCTCCTCAAACGCGCCAGCGCAAGAGAAAATTCAGCAGGTCGTAGTTGAGTTGAGTCGAATTGAAACCCATGCCCTTTGATCCTTTCCCCGCCAGGGGGGGGGGTCCCGGGGGGTGTTGAGGGGGGTTGTTGAGGGGCGGTTCTTGATCCTTTCCTAGCCAAGGCGGGAGGGTTGTTCATGGGGGATTTTGAGGGGGGGTCCCGAATCGAATACCATCCCCCCAGAGGTCGAAGGCCCACAGAGGCCTAAAGACGGCCGAAGAGGCCTCCAAGGTGACCGAAGAGGCCCCCAGGACGACTCCAAGAGGGTGCCCAGCCGGGGGGGGCCCGAATGCACGGTTCGAGCCCCCGACCCCGAGGAAGCCCAAAGAGGCACCAAGGTAACCCCAGGAGGCCCCAAGAGCCCCGAGAGGCCCCCAAGAGGCTCCATGAAAGCTCTAAAACTGCCCCCCAGCGTCCCCAAAGACCCACGGGAGCGCTCCGAAGAGACCCCCTCCCCCTCCCCCTCCCCTCCCTTCCCCTCCCGTCCTCCCCCTCCCCCCCCTCCCCCCCCCCCTCTCCGCGGCATGCAGCCCACAAACGCACACGGGCCCGGAGGGGACCCCCCGGGGACCAGGGTTTAGTCCTGGGTCGTTTCCTGACAGTCTCCGGGCCCTGAGAGGGCCCAGGGAGCCCGACGAGGGCGAAGAACGAACTTACAGGGCCTCCCAAATGGGACAGGAGTAGATGGGGTCGGAGGATCGCGCCGCATCGCTGAGGCACCGGCGACGTCAGCGATACATCGGAGACGTCGGCGCAGAGAAAGTCTGGCTCCAAATCGAGCCGCGTCGCCGAATCGCCAACGCACCGGCGATGCGGCGCCATCCTTCGACTCCCTACTCTGACCCCATTTGAGGGCCCTGGAGAACTCAGGATCAGTCCCAGGCGTCCGACGATGGGATTTGTCAATGCGCGCCTCCAGAGCTCCCGGCACCTTCCCTTATGCAAATGTTTCGCCCCGGGCTCATTTTCTTTATAGTCCTGGGGCCCAGTAGCGGCCACCCTAGGCCCACGTCTTAGGTCAGGCGTGTCTCCCTCCAGGCGGATGTTGAGATTGAACAATGATAAATAGCAGCACACACATGATCAAACCAACATAAACACAAAAACACTAGAAACATCGTCCCCAGGCTATTTGTTGACCATTCTTGAACCTTCCTCCTGTAGAGAGACACGCCCGACTGATCCCCAGGCCCACGCCGAGAAGAAAGGCCCGGAGCGAAAAAAAACCACACCTCGTCGGAGGCCTTGAGTGCACGGCGACCCGCCGTGGCTTCCAGTCCGCCTGGGCCCCGAGGGCGGCCGGCCGGTCGGCTCTCCGTGAGGGGCAAAGGTCATGGGGGAGCAGCTCCCCCTCCTCCTCCTCCTCCTCCTCCTCCTCCTCCTCCTCCTCCTCCTCCTCCTCCTCCTCCTCCTCCTCCTCCTCCTCCTCCTCCTCCTCCTCCTCCTCCTCCTCCTCCCCCTCCTCCCCTCTCCCCCTCCCCCTCCCTCCCTCCTCCCCCTCCCCCTCCCCCTCCCCCTCCCTCCCCCCTCCCCCTCCCCTCCTCCTCCTCCTCCTCCTCCTCCTCCTCCTCCTCCTCCAGCTCCGGGGGGGGAACCTCGACCTGGAAACGGCGATGCGGCAGGATCGTGTCGTGCCGCCTTCGGCGTCGGTCTCTGACACCGCGGGGATCGTTCAGTCGTGCTTTACAGTCGGGCGCCCCATCTTCCTGCTTTGCAGTCGTGACGCGCTCCGTTGTTCCGTCTCGCCTGTCGTCTTTTCCCGAAGAGTTGCCCATCGCGCGCTCTTCTGCCCACGCGTCCTTCTTCTGGATGCTCGGCTCAGTGGTGGGGATCGCTCAGCCTCGAACGAGCGGCCGCTCCTCGACCGCCAGATCATTCCATACGGGCCGATGCTGGGCCACGGGCGCGGCGGTCAACCTTACCCATCGGTCGGAAGAAGTAGGTAGAAACAGGAAGTAGGAAGGCGTTGGAAATAGATTGGGTTTCCGCACGCCTCCTGAAGAGGAAGGAAGAGGGAAAACCACTCGACTCTTGAAGTAGGAAGGCGCTATGAACTCGTCTCCGCACGACTCCAGAATCGAGACAGCATCGGACCGATATGAATCGGCAATCTCTGAGGATCGGCGGCTTTGGAGGATGTGTCGTATGCCGCGGCCGCTTTTCTGAGCGTTCACGCTCTGAGAGTCTTCCGGAACGCGCTGGAACCGACTCTTCTCCCGATTCGAGACCCGCCCGATCGTCGCCCATGGACCGGCGACAAACTCGCAGACAAGACTTGTGTCCGTGTCCACTGCAGCTTGGAGTCTCGGGATCTCCCCCAGAATCCCGAGGCGCACTGGCTAGGGATAAGAATATGTCCCATATGGAGGCACGATGTTTGTCCAGATCCAATGAGCCTCGGCCTTGCGGCGCCCCTTCCAAGAAAATCCAAGACGCACCGGATATGTCACTGCACCGACCTTGCAGACGTGCTGCAGCGGACTTTTGCGTGGATTTCTGCAAATGCAAAACCCCGAATCGGCGACTGAAAAACGACAAGACTTTCGCGTGGATGTTTTTGGTCTTCATTCCTGGCCAAACAAAATCCGCGCGAAAGTCACCTCGAAATCCGGACCGAAATTCTCCAGGACACTCGGGGCCCATCCTATCGTTTTCCGAACGAAATCCCCTCTGCGATGTGGGCGCCATGAGATATGGATATAACTCTTGCCCGCGCGTCAACTTCTCGGTCGCGACGCCGTACGTTCCTGGCCCGTCCGATCAGATCCACCCAGTCGGAAGCGGCCAAGAGGGGGGTGTCCAAGAGGGGGGGGGGGTGCAAATCATGACCGGCGGCATTTGCGCGGCCCAGCGGGGGGGCCAGGGACGCAATGAAATAAGAAGAGGCGCCATGACATCTGGGGAAACATCATGGCCCACGCCATGATATCCACCCCCCCCTGGTCATCACCCCCCTCTTTGCCGCCCCCGACCCGGCCCCGAGGGCGTCCCGCCGGCCAGGCCCCGAGGCGCGCGCGTAGAGCGGCCACACGGGCAGGCCGCGGCGCGCCAGGTGCGCCAGGTCTGCGGCGCTGGTCGCTGGCCGGTCCCGCTGCAGCAGCTCCGCCAGCGCCGCGGAGTGCAGCGCGCCGCAGACCTCGGGCGGGCGGTAGTGCGGGGCGGCCCAAGGGACGGGTGAAGCAGGGGCCCTCCCCAAAGGGGCCCTGTGGGGCTCCCTTTGGAGCCAAGAGGGGCCCCAAAGGGGGGCCCAAAGGACCCCTGGAGGGCTTCATTCTTCACACACACCCCTTCCGGTCTCCCCCGATTGCCACCCGCCCGAAGACCAGCACCGCCTCCGCCCCGCGGGCGGCTGCCACCCGCACCTGTAGGCGACTATTACGATATATAGAAGTCTCCACCGCGCCTCGACGACGGATCATCAAACCTTCGGCGCAACGTCGCGGCCCCCTACGGCGCCGATTGCAAAACACACCCCAGCGTAAACCACACCCTTTGTAACGTCGCCTTGTAGCCGTTCAGGGGAGCTCTCGCGCTACGTTTAGGCATTTGCGTTCGTTCCGCTTCCGTTCGAACCAAGGGCCTATCGCCATCAGAGCACAACAGCCGAAGGGACACGAACGCGACGCGGACATGGCACGAAAAGGCGAAAAGAAAGGTGCCTTACGCGACATTACGCGGCGGCGGCCCGCCAACGCGGCACGCCACGCTGGAAACGAGGGCACTTCCTTAGCTCCAACAGAAGTTTCCCTGGAAACTCGCAAGAGGGAGTAACGTATGCACGCCCATCGGCAAGATGAAATGTCGCGCGCGCGTGCTCAGCGCTCGCACGCACGCGATCCCAATACGTCACATGGCCACAAGATGCTTCCAGGATGGCTTCAGGCCGCGGACGGTAACGTCCAGGCAACCCTGGGATGATGCCACCCCAACACGATCCTGCCATGGATTCTGGGCCGTCCCAGGCCGACTCGAAGATGAGCAAACACATGAGCAAGGAGTGACGCCGAGATGGCCCGATGACAACAAGATGGATCCTAGCGCCCAGAATGGCCCCAGAATGACCACATGACGGCTGCGGAATCCAAACATGTCTGGGACATGACATGATCTCAAGATGAACCCAAGACGACCTGAACGCGGCAAGAATGCTGCAACTTACGAGCCCCATCTTACTTCGTGCCGATCCCAGCATCGCGGGACTCGTGAACGACCCGGGAGTTTGGTTTATCCGATTTTTAATGAGTGGGATTTTGACCTTCCGCAACTGAAAAATGTTAAAGCGGGCTCCCGCCCTGCCCACGGAAGAAAACTACATTGCTAGGTTTGTAAGGGGGAAACAAATGGGTTCGGACGGGGCGTCGTCGACTTCCGCCGACTGCCGCGGGCCTTCGATTGCCTTCCGCCGTCTCCCGCCTCGTTTTACATCCGTCGACTGCCAGGTACTTTCAAGGTACTTTCCAGGTACTTCCAGGGACTGGCGAACGCCGTGATGAAAATTCAAGGTCCTTTCAGTGGGCCGACGTGCGCGCGGCCTTGCGCGGGCAGCTTACGCGCCAGTGCCCGCGCAGACGACCCCGTGTTCCAACGCCGCGCACCTGGTGGTCCACGCACGGAAGAATAAAAAAAAACGGCACAAGCAGAAACCTTCGGAGGCCCGCGCGGGTTCCTCGCCTCGGCGCTGAACCCCTCCCCTGGCGGCGCCGCCCCAGGCGCGCTCCGCGCCGATCCGAGGAATCCCCGGGGGCCTCCCAAAAGTCTATGTTCCTGTGCAGTTCTTCCTTCTCCGGATGTAGCTGGCCCGCTCCTCGATCAACACCTGGTGCGCAGCGGGGCAGTGCTTCTCCTGGATGGCGAGGGCCGGTGCGCGTGCACCGATCGCGGCCAAGCAAGCCCCGAGCCCCACGGAGGGTCGGTGCAGGCGCACTCCTGGCTCGACCAGGGGGGCAGATGCACCGAGCCTGGGCCCAAGGTTAGGTCGGGCATGTCCCCCTACAGGCCGGTTTTTGTTGAGAAACAAACTTGCAAAACAAAATCTAACAATTTTCAAAAAAAACACAAAACATGCCACAAACGCCCCAGACTATTTTTGTTTACTATTTTTGAGTGTTTCCCCTGTAGAGGGAAAGGCCCGACTTACGCCTGGCCAGGACCAGTGCCCGTGCAGAGTTCCCGCCGCCCCGATCTCCAGCTCCCTGCGCATCTCCTCTGGAGACCTCCCAAGTGGGGTCGGAGCAGCTTTGGTCGGAGGATCCCAACACATTGCCGACTCATCGTCGATGCATCGGCGATGCACTGGCGACGTCGGCGATGTATCGGCGCCGTCGGGGCGGAGAAAGTCGGGCTCCACGCGGCCCGATCCACCGACCCCATCTTCGGTGGCAACACATGGGAGCCTTCCATGCCATCTTGCTGGCTCTTGCGAAATCGACGCTAACCGACGCTAGTCGACGCAAGCTGACGCTAACCGACGCTAGTCGACACTACATCGACGCTGGTCGACGCTGAATCAGCGCTTCCTTATCGATTCCCAGACGCTAGCGCACGCCGGTGCACCCTGAACACGGCCCTACACGAGGGCATGCGAGACTCCCGCGGTGTGCTGCCGCACCCATCTGCTCGGACCCCGCCCGGGAGGCCCACGTCTCCTCACTGTCCACGGGGGCCCCGCCGCGCCGCAGGCGCATCGACAGGCCGCCGTAGTTCAGCAGGCCCTGCAGCAGCCTCGGGTGGGGAAAAAAAATCTAAAAAACATACAAAAACACACACGACTCCGAAACCTGTGCTTTTTCGAGTTTTTTTGTCTTTTTGTGTGTGTGTGTATGTTTTTTCAGCAGGCCCTGCAGCAGCCTCGGGTGCCACAGGCGGTGGGCCACGCGGCCGCGCGTCGCCGCACGCGGGCGGTCCACGGGCGTCACCGCGGCGCCGACCTCCCGGGCCGCAGCCAGCACGGGCGCCATCTCATGGCCCAAGAGGCCCCCGTCGATGTTCCCGAGGATGTCCAGCCGCGGCGGCGGCCTGGGAGGCAGGCCCAGCACGGCGCACGCCTGCGCCTCGGCGTACCTGGAGGCCGCCCAGCGGAGCGACGAGCAGAAACGGAGCTTGCGCTTACGTTGCTCCCATCGTACGTGGGGACCACATCCCAGAAGAAGAACCCCGAGCACCTAGAAACGTATCGAACCAGTGGCGAGCATCGCCTCCCAGGGCCCGACACGTGAAAACCCTCCAGCTTCGATACTTCCCTGATGCTCGAAGTTCTGTCTGGTGATCAAAGGCTAAAGTAAGCTGGAAGATCATACGGTGGGGGCTGGTCCACAAGAAACCGTCCACAAGGAACCCAACCCTGAGATCCCAGGACGTCCATTGACTCTTGGTGCGAGAACGTCACGCTTTTCAAGGGGCTCAAGGACACACAAATAAATACACACAAATAAAATGATTCCCCATATTTTCCCATATTTTCTGGGGAATCGAGGATTAATTGTGTCTGTGTGTTTTTTCCTCTCCTGAGCTTTGCATGGCAAGACCAGCGAAACCCAAGAAACCCAGGGCACCCTGGAGGCAAGCTGGGTGTTTCTTGGCAGGGGTCCCCGCTGGAAGTCTTGGGCGGGATGGCGTGGCGACCTCACGCGGTGGCCTACGCAGGCCACCAGCGTGGCACACCACGCTTGGAGAAAAGGGCGCGCACGCGCGACCTTACAGTGCGGGCGCGATCGCAAGAAACCATCGCAAGAAGTCTAACCTTAGGTCGGGCGTGTCCTCCTACAGGGAGATTTTGACGAAGAATGAATAATAGCCACAAGTATTCCAAAATGCAAATCAATACTCAAGATATCGTCCCAAGACTATTGTTTGGCTATTTTTGAACGTTCCTCCTGTAGAGGGGTACGCACGATTTAAACCCAACCCCGAAAACCCGCACGCAAGGTACACCTGAGGGGACACCCGTAGCACCCTGAACGCAGCAGCTTCTCAGCGGCCGCGGGAAGTCACAGCGCAGCGCGCGGCTCGAAGAAACCACCCAGGGTACCCTGGCAAAGAGCACTTGGCAGGAGAGCCCAGAATCGAATCGATAAATCGGATCGGCGATCGAAATGAGTCGGATCGGCGGAAATCGGCGGCCGAGTCGGGAAAAGTGGAATCGGCGGACATCGGCAGGCTAATATGCCTCCAGTAAGGAATCGGAGCCCAAATCGGAATCCGAAGTCCTATCGAATCGGAATCGGAAGCCATCGAAGTCGAATAGAATCGAATCGGAGGAATCGAAACGAGCCCTGACTTGGTCTCTTGATGCGCGCCTCCACTCTACGCGGGCAGCTTACGCTCCAGTGTCCGTGCAAGGACGGCCCTGTTTGCCCCGGCTCCAGACGAGGCCTCGCCGGATCGGGTGGGAGGCTCGCGAGCGCCGCACCGCCCATGCATCGGCGCCGACGGCATCGGGCGGCTGGTACAGTCGAGGCGTTGACCTAAGGAACCCTAAATAAGGAACGAGGCCCTTTTTTCCATAAGTTAAACTTCGATTTCCTATCGAAAACATAAAGAACACCTGAGGCAAGCTGTGAAACACTGAAGGAACCCGGAGCCCCTCCCCAACCAAAAGGGTTCCTTCTTCAGGGCCCCGACTGTAATGGGAGGTGACCTACATGGGGGTTGAAGGAAGGGTCCCCAACAGGAGCCCTTGAGAGCCCTTTTTGGATCCAGCAAGGCCGGCCCTTCTCTTCACCGTACCCCCCAATTCGAGCAGGGGATCGATTCCAGAACTGTTTCCCCGAAAATGTGTTTTCCCGCCGAAAACACGGAGCATGCGTGTAATGCCCCGTAGACCTACGAACACTCTACGCGCTTCTTGCAAAGTCGGCGGGGAAATCAGTCTTGGAGTAGATCGATCCTGCAGTGGATCCCCTCTTCGACAATTACCACCTGCCCGAGCGGCGATGGGATTGGGAACCTCGGGCCCAGGGTCACGCCGCACCAGCGTTAGGTTTGGCATGTCCTCGTACAGGTGGATGTTGACAGAACGATCAAAAATAATCAGAAAATGCCCCCAAAATAATCAAGAACAGTCAGAACATCGTCCCCAGACTGTTCTTTGACTATTGTTGTACGTCCCCCCTGTAGAGGGACCTGCCCGACTCAACACCAGCGACGTGGCGCGATCCACCGACCACACCTCCTCCTCCTCCTCCTCCTCCTCCTCCTCCTCCTCCTCCTCCTCCTCACCTCTGCTTCGACGGCCCTTCCCCGGGGCGGCCAGGGGCACCGCCTGGCACAGAGCTCGACCAGGACCTGCCGGGGCGCCAGCGCCCGGATCGCCCTGGCGGCCTCCTCCGGAACCAGAAGAGAGGCCTCCAATGTACGGCAAGCTCGTGTCGTGGCGACTTCGGCGGTGGCTCCTGACACCGCAGGTATCCTGAGGGAAACTTCGGAGGGAACCAGCTACTAGATGGTTCGATTAGTCTTTCGCCCCTATACCCAAGTATGACGAACAATTTGCACGTCAGAATCGCTACGAGCCTCCATCAGAGTTTCCCTTGAGTTTGCCCTTCTCAGGCATAGTTCGCCATCTTTCGGGCCCTAACAGCTCATACTCAAACCTCTCCCAATTGATCGTTCAAAATTGAAAGATCGACCATTTGCGAACGTCCGATCGCTCCACATCGGTCGCCAGCGGCGTTCCACGTGGAACGCCGGCGGCGGGGTCACCGCCGGTCGACACGCCGGCGGGCATCCGCGATGGGCCGGCGACGCCGGGGCGGTGCATCGGCGCCGTGGGCGTGGAGAAGGCCGGGCTCCACATCGAGCCGCTCGGCCGCTGCATCGGCAATGCGGCGCGATCCTCCGACCCCGCCTGCGCAGACTCCATCTGGGAGGCGCAGGGAGAAGATTTGGGCGCCCGAGTTGTCCGGGATAACTCGGGTCCGGGGTAACTCGGGTTTGGATTCCCGAGAAAGGAACCCGAGTTATCCCTGACCCGAGTTACCCCTGATGATTCGGGGCTCTTGGACGCCCGATAACTCGGGTCCGGGGCAACTCGGGTTTGGATTCCCGAAAAGCGAACCCGAGTGATCCCTGACCCGAGCTACCCCTGATGATTCGGGGCTCTTGGACGCCCGATAACTCGGGTCCGGGGCAACTCGGGTTTGGATTCCCGAAAAGCGAACCCGAGTTATCCCTGACCCGAGTTACCCCTGATGATTCGGGGCTCTTGGACGCCCGATAACTCAGGTCCGGGGTAACTCGGGTTTGGATTCCCGAAAAGCGAACCCGAGTTATCCCTGACCCGAGTTACCCCTGATGATTCGGGGCTCTTGGACGCCCGATAACTCGGGTCCGGGGTAACTCGGGTTTGGACTCCCGAAAAGCGAACCCGAGTTATCCCTGACCCGAGTTACCCCTGATGATTCGGGGCTCTGAAAGAGGCCGATGCCGCTGCTCCCGGGGGCCCCCCCCGGCGTGTGCCCTGGCCGGGGTCTCGAGGAGTGTCCAGCCGTGGCGACCACGGCTCTCCGGGACGAGCAGCAACATCGGTTTACCGCTTCCTTAGAATTCGAAGGAAGCGGTGCCGATGCTGCTGCTCCCTTAGAAGGAAGCGGTACCGAGGAATTCTAAGGAAGCGGTACCGCTTCCTTAGAATTCCAAGGAAGCGGTGCCGATGTTGCTGCTTCCTTAGAAGGAAGCGGTACCGAGGAATTCTGAGGAAGCGGTACCGCTTCCTTAGAATTCTAAGGTTTACGACGCGCTGCTTCTTAAGAAGGGAAACGTCGTAAGCATAGCCTTTTGGCGCTCCGCGCGGATGTCCTGGATCTGCGCCGGACCCCCCTCCCTGGCGCGCGGAGCGCGCCACGGTCGGCGCAGGAGCCGCCGCCAGGAGGGGGGCCCAGGCGCGAATCCAAGAAATCTGCGCGAAGTGCCAAAGCCTTTTATGTTTTTGCCATCTCTTTGTTCTTCTTCGAGCCTCCTGCTCCGCCGTTTATTTTGGACGGCCGAAATGGGTACGGAAAAAATGGGTACAATGCCCAACAGCACATGTTGTCGCAAACCAACAGCGGCCGCTGTTGGGCAGGCGGCCTTCTGTCTCGAATTGATACAGGCCGCGGCGGCGTGGACAGCGAGCCCTGTTCAAAATGAACAAGAACTGCTGTTGGGCATTGTACCCATTCTCTCCGTGCCCGTCTCGGGCGTCCAGACTTATGGCGTCGTGTCATCCTTCTGCCCCGCTCCTCGGCGCTCTGCCCGGGCCCGGCCAGCCGGCCGTGCAGCACGGGCAGCAGCAGCAGCCGCCGTCCCCAGGGGCCCTCCAGCCGCACCGCGTGGGGCGGCAGCGCGGCCGCCCCGGCAGGCGCCAGGACCCGCCGCGCCCGCCGCATGGCGAGGGGTAGGTCGGGCAGGTCCTCCTACAGGCAGAGCGTTGGAAGCACCAGAGCACGCAGTCCACGAAACATACGCGCGCGCAGGCAAGCATCATCGCAGAATCGTCCCCAGGCTGCGGCTCGCTCACGAAGCACAGGAGCACGCAGTCCACAAAACATACGCGCGCGCAGGCAAACGTCGTCGCAGAATCGTCCCCAGACTTACGTCCGCCCGAGGCATCCACCGCTGGAACCTATGCACCACCAAGCGGACCTGCGCTGACCCAACCACCACCGCGGACTTAGCGGAGGAGGAGGAGGAGGAGGAGGAGGAGGAGGAGGAGGAGGAGGAGGAGGAGGAGGAGGAGGAGGAGGAGGAGGAGAGGAGAGGAGAGGGAGGGAGGGGGGAGGGAGGAGGAGGAATCGCCCTCGCAGGCGTTCCTCCTGCAGAGGGACCTGCCCGACTTCAGGCGCGGGGCGCGCAGCGCGGAGGCCTCGCGCGGCGGCCGCGCCGCGACCCCCCCGCCGACGCGCCGGGGCGGCCGGCTCGGCGCGGCGGCGGCGCCGCGGCTGTCACTGGCGCGGCTGCGGCCGAGCAGCGCGACGCTCTGGGGATCTGCTGACCCCAGCCAATCCAGACCCGGGCCAGCCAGACTGTGCAAGATCCTGCAGGGTTCTGCACCCAAGCCCAGGTCCCTGCGGGATCCTCCCGGCCAGATCCCTGCACCCAGGTCCCGGTCCCTGCACCCAGGCCCAAGTCCCTGCACCCAGGCCCGGATCCCTGCGGGATCTGCTGACCCCGGCCAGTCCAGACCCGGGCCAGCCATACTGTGCATTAAGTCGGGCCTGTCCCCCTACAGGAGGATTTTCGACGACAAAGACATGATACCCCCAAAATAACCAAGAAATGTGCAATACATAGTCTGGGGACTACTTGTTGAATATGTGTTGGCCTTCTGGGTTTTTTTTGGGGTTATTTTCTAGTTTTCGTCGAACATCCCCCTATAGGGGGACACGCCCGACTTAAACTTTGCAAGATCCTGCAGGGTCCTGCACCCAGGCCCAGGTCCCTGCGGGATCCTCCAGGATCTGGCGCCCCGACCGACCCCGAACGCCGACGTGCCCGACGACCCCGGGGGCCGAGGGTCCGAGGCTCAAGACGTGAGGCGCCCGCCCTTGCCTCCACCTCCCCCTCCTCCTCCTCCTCCTCCTCCTCCTCCTCCTCCTCCTCCAACTCCACCTCCTGCTCCCCCCCCTCCTCCTCCTCCTCCTCCTCCTCCTCCTCCTCCTCCTCCTCCTCCTCCTCCTCCTCCTCCTCCTCCTCCTCCTCCTCCAGCCAAGTGGACTGGATGGCGGGCGACCGCGTGCGCAGATCGCACCGGGCCAGAGCGCTGGGCGTGCTGGGCGTCGAGCGGTGCCCACACGGGAGCGCGAGGCGGGGCACCCACGAGGCCCCCGGGGCGGGGCATGCAGTCGTCGCGCGTCGCGGGCGCGAGGCAGGATGGCCAGGGCGCGCCAGCGCACAGTGGGCCTGGCGGCCGCGGCGTCCAGGGCGTGCAGGGCGGGTCGGGAGCGCTTTTCTTCCAACCTACAGTGGAGGTCCGTGCACAAGACACCTTCCTTCCACAGGAAACCCAACCCTGAGGCCCCAGGAGTGCATTGACTCTTGGCGTGGGGACGTCACACCTTCCATCGCAGAACCGTCGAAACCCAGGGCTTGCCGATCGTTGCTTATGCGATGTGGCAATGGCGGCCAATGTGCTGGGAATTCCTCTCCCTCCCCCAGCCACCAGCAAGCCGCGCTTAACAAGTCACTCCTGCGGAGGGTTGCTCTCACGTGCAGCCGAGTTGAACGGATCAGCTGTATGTCGGGGGCGCGCAAACAGGGATTAGCGATCCGTGGATTTGGGGCATCTCCCCGAGATTCGGCCGGTGCCGCCTCATTCGGCGGCGGAAATCTGCGATTTATCCATGGGAACGGGACCCGTCGCTAGTCCACGCCCCCTTGATCCATGTTTGCGATCGCCTGAGTACGACACAACAGCGCCCGAATCGCCGCCAGGGAAGGGCTTACTCCTCCCACTGCGCCACGCCGCAACACCACCCTCCGCGTCTGTGGGACGGAGGCGGCTAACAGCCAGACGTGGTGGCCACCCCTGTAGGAAAACTGCGGAGACGCGGTTGTGGGCCTCTGGAACGACGGTGATCCCGTCCAAAACGACCCGAAACAAACCACAGAATCCGTCAGAAGCGCCCAAGAGGGTCCAAAAGCGCCGAGACGGCCCCAAGACAGGCTACGAAGTCATCCAGACAGCCCCAGACGCCTTTAAGACGCCGCAAGAAGCCTCCGAGAGCACTCCCAAGAGGGCCCTAAAGAGGCAAAATATATAGATGTGCGTAGGTCTTTGGGCAGATTCTGGTATCCTCGCCCTTTCGGCTTCCCGACGCTCCAAGACGGCCCATGAAGCATCCAATATCACTCCAAGACGGCGTAAGAGGCCTCCAAGAGGCTCCCACAACGGCTCAGGAGGGCGCCCAAACGGCCCAAGAGGCCTCCAGGACGGCCCCAAATTGGGGCCCAGAGGGGGGACCGAAACGGACATTTAGAGCCTTCCGACCCAAGAGGCTCCAGAAGGCTCCAGGAGGCCCCCAAGAGGCCCTCCAGAGGCCCCTGGAGGTCCCCAAGAGGCCCCCAGGAAACCACAAGAAGTCACAGAAAGGCCTTCAAGAGGCCACCAAGAGGCCCCCAAACTACCCCGAAGAGGTCTCCGGAAGCGCTCCGTTGAGAGCCTCAGACCTCGTCGTCGTCGTTGTCGTCGTCGTCGGTGCCGTCCTCTTCCTCCCCCTCCTCCTCCTCCCGTTCGATCGCGACGTATGCTGCTCGACTTCCCAAGGGGGGATGTCGTGGGTTTCGCGGGATATCTTCACAATGTGCTTCCGTTGGCTAAGTCGCAGTTCTGAACAATTTTCCGTCGTCAAGTTTCCTTTTCCTCAATGTCAGCCGTTCTTCTTCCGCACCCACTCGTCCTCCGCCTCCTCCCACCTCCTACTCATCCTGTGTTTCCTCCTCCGACTCCTCACGCCTGCTCCTGCTCCTCTTCCTCGTCCTCCTCCTCCTCCTCCTCCTCCTCCGTGATCTGGGACTCCTTGGACCTCTGAACCGCAGCGCGGGCACGGTGGCGGGATAGGCCGGAGGACCCATTCTATCACAACGGCGGTCCGAAGAACCCTGAAAACTAAGAGCCTACAAATAGTCAGATCCCCAAGGTCTCCTCGCTCGCCGTCGGCGCCCCCTTTCTGCATCCCCCCCATGTTCCTCTGTAGATACTTCGGCTTCTGCACGTGCGGCCAGAATCCCTTGCAACACATACCACGCGGCGCGCATGGGCTTCTGCAACTCATGCACTCCCTATCCTAGGTTGACAACAAACCTGCCTCGCTTTTGACCACCCTCGCTTCCAAGAGATACCAAGCGATGCCAAACTGCGGCCTACACCGGTCAGGCCGCTTGACGAGGAGGCGCGTGGCAGGACTTGCCTCTGCCTAGAAGCGACAGCGGGGTAGGCAATTCACGCTCTGAGGCCCCAAAAGACCATCCCGTGCACGCCTGCGCGCGTGTCTGTCCCAGGCGCTCCCCGGGCCCCCCCAAAGCGCTTTCAAGCGTCCCTGGGCGCCCCCTGGCGCGCACCAGGCGCTCCCGGGCCCTCCCGCGCTCCCGGGGAGGGCCCCCCGAGACACTCGCGCGCTCCCGCGCGCACCCCCGGGCGCTCCCGAGCGCCGCCTGGCGCCTCCAGGCGTCCCCCCAGGGCGTTCCCTGGCGCTCCCCGGCGGGGGCGGGCCTCGCGCAGCTCCGCCCCCAGCGACGTGCCGAGCTGCGCTGCGCACCGCCCAAATGCTCCTCCTCCTCCTCCTCCACCTCCTCCTCCTCCTCCTCCTCCTCCTCCTCCTCCTCCTCCTCCTCCTCTGGGCCCCGTTCCGCACCGCCACTGGCGTCGGCCACCGCAGCGCTGCAGCAACACGCTGCGCACGTCGCCGCGCGCGGAGTCGTCGTCGTCGACGCGTGGAGCTCTGTATGTCATGGGTCTCGGGCGCTTGGGGCACGTCCAGCAGTTTCCAAGTGGGACTATAGGAAGGTAAACCCTAAACCCGAAGTGATCCGCGCGGACATCCGAACGTGTATGTTGGCGTACGTAACTATTTGTTGGTCCTCATCCTCCCTCCCTCGCTGCAAGAGAGAAGGGTCCTGACGGAAGCGGGTCCTGGACCCCGGGGCTTCCCTCCAGAACGAGCTTCTCATGACATCGCGTCACCAGCGGCACGAGAGCCGCCTGAACTATCACGGCGCGCCTTCACGCCTCATGGCAAGCATCTGGACGCCTGCTGATCAAAGCTGTGGCCGAAAAACAAACGAACGAACGAACAACACGCGCCCATACCCATAGGAGAGGATGGAGGGGGCTGCGGGTGCGTGTTGTCGGATGGGGGTCCCCGTTCGAACGGGACCCTCCCCCAGGGTCCGACAAACCGTGCCCATACCCATAGCCTATAGCCAGTCCTCCTCGAACCTCCTGTGAGTATGGGTGTGCTTTGTTCCCTTGTCAACAGAAGTGTAGCCTCACCATGGCTCAATCCATGAGTTCACGCCCTGGCCAAGGGTTAAGTCGGGCCTGTCCTCCTACAGGGGGATCTTCGACGAAAAATAAAACATACCCCCAACATAATCCAAAAATTGTCTGGGGACTATGTTTTGAATATTTTTCAACCATTTTGGGGCATTTTGGGGTAATTTTTATTTGTCATCGAAAATCTCCCTGTAGGGGGACACGCCCGACCTAAGCCAAGGGGCTCTGCAGCAGCACTCAGGTTGCCGCGTGGCCCGGCGACCTCGTCCCCCGGAGCGGCTCGCAGCCTGCCTCAGCGACCAGCTCCGGGGGCCCCAGGGGCCCCAGTCAGGGAGGGCCCCATAGGAGCAAGAAAGCGGCGGAAGGTCTCCGGGACCCGTTGATACTCGGGACCCGTCTGCTCCGCGGGGACGGCCCCCCTCCCCTCCGCAGCGAGAGGCGAGACTCCGAAAAGGGAGGCCTGGCCAGCGGTCGTGGGCATGGCCTCGCGGGCTGGCGGCGGCGGGGCCGGGCGCTCGCCTCCCCTCGCCCTTTGCCGGGAGCATCAGGAGCAGCCATGGCGGAGGGAGCGACGGGGGTAGCGTCAAGGAGAAGGAGGAGGAGGAGGAGGAGGACCAGTGCAAACCCAAGAGGCATCAACGATGTTGGAATAAACCTTCCTTCCAAGTTCATTCTTCATCGGCCCCTACAGCGGTTTATTTTTACTGAGGGAGCTGCTTCGTTGGAAGACAGCTGTTTGAAGACCCTGACGCATGCCACAACATGGTTCTCGGGATTCCAACGCCACGGATCAACCTGACTGTTGCGTCCTGGCGATGCTGAATCGTGCCAAGACGCCACCCCTGGGACTTTAACACCGCAAACCAACATACCTTGCGCTTGCTCATAAGCCTGAAGCCTTCGAAAACAACATTCCGGGTACGTCGACCGTGGGAACCCGTACAACTTATACAAACGAATGCGCGCGGCGCTAAGGCGAGAACCACATGTTGAAAAAAAACCACCCTCAATCCGTGAAGCGCTTGCAAATTAAACGAATATGCGCGGCGCTAAGGCGAAAACCACAATTTAAAAACCACTCGCACGAAACCCGTGAAACTATTGCAATGTATAAAACGAGTGCGCGCGGCTTTAATGCGACAACCACATGTTGAAAACCACTCGCCCTCAATCCGTGAAGCTCTTGCACATGTTTAAGACGAGCATGCGCGGAACTAACGTGAGAAACATATTTTGAAAACGGCCCGCCCTCCGTCTGTGAAGCAGCTGCAGACTTTCAAGCTTCAGAATCATAAGTGGCGAAGGCGCCTCAGGCGAAACGCCCAGCCCGCCCTAAAACTGGCATCGGGGTGCGACAGGGAGAAGTTGTTTATAAGGAGAAGGAATGGAAGAGGATGAGCGAGCGAGCGAGCAGAAGCCGAGAGGCGGTTGGATGGCGGGCCGAAGGTCAGCAAAAACCAACCCCGAGGCCTCGGCCTGCTGCAAGGACGGAGCCCAAAGGGCCAGGAACCGCCTTGCAGCCGCCGAGGCCGCGGGGCCAGCCCTTGCGGGCCCAGAGAGAAGCGGGCCGCACGCCCGCCAGGAAGCACGGGGCCTGCGCCAGGCCCAAGCTCGCCTGCTCGAGGCAGCAGCCCTCGAGGCCCAGCGGGCGCACAAAGTGCCCGAGGTTCAGCACGGTGCCGAACACCCGAAAGAAGGGCTTCCACAGCTGGAGGCCGCCCCGCCCGTCGATGACAACGTCGACGGGGAAACTGAAACTGAAGACGCGCAGGCAGTCCAGGATCAAACGCCACCACGGACTGCCCTCAGCACCAAAAAATGAAAAGAAGGCCGCCAAACCGACCCAACTCCCACCCAAGGTGCAAGCCCCCAGGGCCAGAACATGAAGGGCTGGCTGCCGGGGGTGGGAGCAAGATGTCCCTGCCAAGGGTGCGTGGCTCAAAGGCCAAGAACATTGAGGCTTGGCCGCCGATGGCAGGGAATGGTCGGCCCGACCACTAACCCATGTCGAGGTCAACGTCATCATGGCTGTCCGACTCACGCGGAGCTCCCAACTCCAAAGCTTCAGGGCATCATAGACCGTAGTCCTTGGGAATCGTACTTGTGTCCAAAAATCGTTGTGGTTCCGCACGTATTCGGCCTTTTGGTTTGAAGACAACCTCAGACGCATCCATGAGTGGGTCCCTCCAACCTTTTGCCTTGCACACCAAGGCTCTAACTCTGGCCGGGGGCCGACGAACATCTAACGGAGCCGTGTCTCTGTGCATCGACTGAGGATGTCGGAGATTGCTGAAGTGCCTGGTGTTCTCAGCAATCCTTCCGCTGCCTCCTTCTCTGCCGCAGCACACTTGGTCCAGCCCTCTATGGTTGAGACGACCTGTGTCCGAGTACTTGCAACAACTGGTGCAGGAAAAAAGCGAACGATCGTGACCGACCACGGGGTACTCCAGCAGGGCCTGCTTCTGGACCAGCCAAGGCCACGGCAAAAGGGGTTCCCTCGCCGCCGCTTGCTGCTGCGGTGTGGCCAAGTCGTCCTCCTCAGGGTCGGGGAAGAGGTAGTCCTTGAACTCATCGCCCTGCTCGTGGAACCAGACCTCAAACTGGGCGATGTACAGCAGCAGCATCTTGTGAAGGCGCGTCGCACCTCGGACAAGCTTCTCCTGAGCCTCCGAAGCTGCATGGAAAGATGCCCCTGCCTTGGCCAACTCGTCGACCTCGGCGTTCCCAGCACGATCGAAAAAACTGACGACGCCGTCCCTGACGTCCTCCATGATGGCGTGTGCCTTCACATGAGACAAAGGTGCCTTGCAGAAATCGTCGTTCATCGCCGTCCTCCTCGACATATGCGCTCTTAGATTGCCTGGCCCACACGCTGCCGCCAACCTGTGACAGCACCCGACCGAGCCTTTGCAATCCGACTTCACCTGGTACGAGCCCATGACCAGCTCACTTGCCTTCATGATAGCATAGTCCTCTCCATGGAGGAGGATGAGAAAGATGAGGAGGAGGAGGAGGAGGAGGAAGAGGAATGGAGAAGGAGGAGGAGGTGGACGCGGGCTGACTCCCAACTTCAATTTGACGATTGCCCACCCTCTACGTGTCACTGCCTGTGCCCGCGCTCCCTCCCACCCCTCACTTGTTCCCCCCCTCGGGCTCCTGCGCTGCCGTGTTCGAGAGAGAGTGCTGGACTCTTTCTATGGGTATTCTTGGGGACTTCAGGGCCTCTGGAGCGGTCTTCAAGCGATACGGGGAGTCCTGGAGCGCTCACTGGCCGCCTCGGAGGCGTCTTCGACTAGCGTGGAGGCCGAAAGTAACACAATACCTTCGTGTAAATCTCGTCCGCGCCTCCTGCGGACCTGATGGGGTGGTCCAGCCTTCAGTTCAGAGGCACTGAGCGCGAACCGCACCCGCCCCCCGCTACCAAGCTGGTTCGCGCTTGTCATTGGAAGCGCAGGAATGGGTGTTGGCAGTGCGAAGCTTAACTGAACAGTTCGACTGCTACCGAGGGTGGTGACCCTCACGCTAGTGTGCGCCATGGATGCTCCGAGATCGATCAAACTGCGCTCGAGGGACTCATCGAATCATCGCGTCCTCTTGTGCCGCCGCGTCCTACTTGCTTCTACGCTTGTCCTGCACGTCTAAGTCAAGCACTAGCCAGGCCATTGGTTCCAGTGTGAAACCTGCGAGCCGGCAACCACGCGAACACAGAATGTCAGGAGGCTCAAAAAAGATACCCACATTTATGCAGATCTCTCGGGGGCCTGAATGAATTCGTTCACATGATGTGATGCGCATGTCAGTATTGTAAGTGGTTCGATTACTTGAGGTCTGTCGCTCCATTTCTGCAGTTGTGTTTTGAGGCGATGATGTCGACGGAAAACAAGATGTGAGGAACGAGGACTGACGATGCTGATGATAATGACGACGATGGTGCTGGTGATGATGATGGTAATGGTGATGATGGTGATGATGGTGATGATGATGATGATGATGATGATGATAATGATGCTGATAATGATGATGATGATGATGCTGGTGATGGTGATGCGGGTGATGGTAATGGTAATGGTGAGGATGATGATGCTGATGCTGATGCTGCTGCTGCTGCTGCTGATGATGATGATGATGATGATGATGATGATGGTAATAATGACGAGAAGGAGGAGGAGGAACGAGTACAGAAGAGGAGAGAGAGGACAGGGGCTGAGAAAGGAAGAGGTGGTGGTGAGAGGACACAGGAGGAGGAGGAGGAAGAGGAGGAGGAGGAGGAGGAGGAGGAGAGAAGGGTGGGATTGGATACGAAACACCTGCATGGACATATACTCTTCAAGATCCACGCTTGACCACCCCCTGAGGCGTGCGGAGCGTACCCAGGGCGGCGCCAGCGCCGAAGGCCGACTCAAGAAACGCGCGCGGACCTCTACAACTTGTCATGTATATGCCATGCTTCTCCACCTACTTCTTTAACAGAGAGAGAAAGAGAGAGAGGAAAAGGTCAACGATAAGGCGGACTGGCTCAGAGGGGGGACCATCGACCTGGAAGCGGTGGTACATCGCCGACAGATCGGCGATAGGCAACCGACGGCAACACAGCACGGTCCTGGGCGGGGTGGGCTTTCGTCGGGCTCCCGTCGGCGATGAGTTGGCGATTGGGTCGCCGATGCGTTACCCCCGGAGCCTATCCTCACCTATTCCGCCCCAGCGTTGCCCCTGAAAAGAACACGGACGACGCCCCCCCTTTGGATGCCCGAAGTGTGTACGGTGACTATGGACACGCTGCCCGGCGAATGTTGCGCAACACCGACAGCGGCCGCTGTTGGGCAAGCGGCCTTCACGTCCGCGGCGACACCGACAACGAGTCCTGTTCAAAATCGAATCCTGTTCAACATGCAAAGGAAATGCTTTCGCACCCATTTCGATCGTAACGAACCCATGATGACTTCTGAACCCCCAACGACTACATCGCGCGCTCCGTCACCGCACTGTTCTGGGACCTCGGAAGCCCTAATTTTCCGAGACACCTTCGCAGAAGAATTCACCGACTAACCTAAGGACTGGCAGTGAACACGTGCGTATGTGTTGAACCATTGTTGGGAATACTGCGCTTCAGTAAAATAAGGACCTGAGTTACTGAATTTCTACACTTGTTGAAAACAAGACACAGGACATGCTTCAGTCGCACAAGCCAAACACAGCAAGTTATCAATCCAATGTGGGTGCGAATTTTCTAAACGGAACTCCTTTCATCATCGCGACGGTGCGGTGACCTCGAACCCACACCGACTCACCACGCGAAGTGGCCACGACATCGTTTGGGCCCCCTTTCCGAGAGGGAGGAAGGACGCGGAAGGGCAATGGACGGGGAGGAGGAACAAAACCCTGAATCCAAAAATGTTGCCTTCTCTTGGGGGCGCAAGGTTTAATTCCGCTGGCTTCCGCCTCCCCGAGGATGGCCTCCCCTAGGAAGGCCTCCCCGATGAATGCCTCCCCAAGGAAGGTCTTCCCTTCCCGTGGAACGTGCCCCCGTAGATGGCCTCCCCGTGGAAAGCCTCCCCGTGGAAAGCCTCCACCCCCTCCACCCCCCATCGACCACGGGATCGATTACAACATCGACTTTCTCGCAAATTTCCGTATATCTATGAAAACTCTAGGTCTTCATTTGTGGGCTCGACATGCAGATCAATTTGGGGGGCAAATTAATCCTGCAACCGATCCTGGGGAAACCGAGAACTACCAATACCGCTGCTCCCCGGACGTCTCCCGGGGTGCGTTCTGACGACGACGGCGGTGGCGACGAGGGCCTCCCAGGAGGCCCCAAAAGGGGAAACGAGGGAAGGGCAGCGGTATCGGTCCCTTTTTGGAGGCCTCCTAAATGGGGTCGGAATCGGTGTGGTCGGAAGTCGGAAGATCACGCCGCATCGCCGATGCATCGGCGATGTATCGGCGATACATTGGCGATGCACCGGCGACGTCGGCGATGCATCGACGACGCCAGCGTGGAGAATATCGGACTCCACATCGAGCCGCACCGCCGATGCATTGCCGATGCGGCGCGATCCTCCGACCCCATCTACTCGGACCCCCATCTAGGAGGCCTAGACTCTTCCTGCGCAGCGCTGTTCGGGGCCGCGTTTGCGCGGCGCCAGCGTTGAACGGGCAATTTTTGCGGCGGCGACCGCGTGGCCAGGGTGTCCCGCTGCAGGGGTCGTCCGGCCGTCCGCGCCAGGGCGCCCAACTCCGCAAAAGAAAACGCTCTGGCACGCAAGCGCCAAAATTGTTTGTCGCCCCTGCGTCGCCCCGAAGGCACTTCCTCCCGAGATCCCCTGCCTCGACCCGCGAGCCTGGCCGCGTTATACGAACATTTGCGCAATGCGCACTCTCGAAACCAGCGCGGATTCATGTACATGCACGTCCTTCCTTCGCTCCTGAATCTAGGAGGCCCAGACTCTTCCTCCCGAGAGCCCCTGCCTCGACCCCTGGGAGGGGCGCCAGCGGCGGGGCCCGGCGGCAGCAGCGGCGGCGCCGGGGGCGGAAGCGGCCGGGCCGCCGCGGGCGCTGCCTCGGATCCGCGGTCCGGCCGCGGGGGGTGGTGGCCACGCCGTCGTCGCGGCGCCACGGCCGCCATGCAACGGAGCAAGCAGGTCCGATACGCCACGTATGTATATATATATATATATATATATATATATATATATATATCATATATATATATTATATATACGCCACGTATGTAATATATATATATATATGCATATATATATATATATGCACGTGTATATATATATATATATATATATATATATGTATATATACATATGTGTATGTATGTATGTATGTATGTATGTATGTATGTATGTATATATATATACATAGATGTACATACACACAGTGGACGCCAATCCACAAAAAAACCTTCCACAAGAAACCCAACCCTAAGACCCCAGGACGTCCACTGATTTTTGGTGCGGGAGCGTCGCGCTTTCCATTGCAAAACCATCGAAGCCCAGGAAACCCAGAGCACCCTGGAGGCAAGCAGGGTGTTTCTTGGCATGGGTCTCCACTATACACAGACGCCCTCCGACGAATTGTGTATGTACCTTCAGGAAGGGTGGCCGGGTAGAAAGTCGCTGGCTCTCAATGGTAATTTATACACCGCCGCCTTATCCTGCGGCCCAGGAACAATCCACTGGAGGGCGTCAATGTCTTCATATTTGTAGCGGAGCCTGGCGGGTTCTTTTTCTCCTTCGGTCGGCCTCCCACCGGCTGCGTGGTGGGACTCTGCTTCGGGGCCTGCTCGGGCCAAAGCGGGTGCCATGAGGCAGAAATGGAGTAACAAAAACTGCGTAAACGTAAACCTCCGAAGCTCCGCACGGATTTCCTGGACCGGCGCAGCAGGACCCCCTCCCTGGCGCGCGGAGGGCGCCAAGGGCGGCGCCGGAGGCGAAGCCATGTGGGGCCCAGCGCTGTTCCAAGAACTCCGACCGCAGTCCCGAAAATGCATGCTTACTTTGAAGGGACCCTGGGACACACAAATAAATACACATAACCGGATTCCCTATATTTCCCCATATTTTCTGGGTTTTTGTCTTCCCCCACGCTTCCCAGTTTCCCATATTTCCTACGGAATCGACGATGAATTGTGCCTGTGTGTTTTTTTTCCCTCCTGATACTTGTGCACGTTTCGTTGCTCAATTCATGAAGGCCCCCCGCCGATGCCCCCTGGCTCAAGCACCGAAGGCGCCGTCCGCGAGCAGCCTGCACGCAGAAGCTCGCGCATGTGTCTTGGATCGGCGCTGGACCCTCCCTCCATGGCGCCAGGGGCGGTGCCGGAGGTGCCGCCAAGATATCCGTGAGCAGGTCTAACAAGTTGAAAGTGTTAGCTTCAGGAACAAAGCAGTCGAAAGAGAATATTCAACGAGAAAGATCAGCCCCGCCGATATTCGCCAGCACGGCAGTGCGGACCGCCGCAACTCTGTTTTTGGAGGAAGAGAAGCTGCAGAAACATGCAATTTCGGAGGTCCGCGCGGGTTTCATGGGCCAGCGCTGATCCTCCTGCCTGGATCGCGTGAAACGAGCCAGGGGCGGCGCCGGAGGGGCCGCCAGGAGTGTCTAGCGCCGGTCCAAGAAACCTGGGCGGAAGTCCCAAAGTTTGTGTCAATGCCGCATTTCTCATCTTTGACTGGCGTTTATTTCTCCAGTGTCATAATGAAAGTGGCGGGGTCTCAACCCTCCCAGACGAGCAATCTTGGCCCCCCCCCGCAGACCAGCCATGGAAGGGCGGCCTTTTGCCCAGACCTCCAACGAAGAAATTCAGGTCCGCGCCGATATCTTGGATCGGCGCTGGACCCCCCTCCCTGGCGCGCGGAGCCTGCAAGGTGCGGCGCCGGAGTCGCCGCCAAGGTGCTCCAACGCCGATCCGAGAAATCCGCACGGACCTGCGATAAGGACACTGTCTCTTCCTCGATCTTTGACTTGGTCTTGTCATGGGATTGTGTGGTACCGACCTTTGTGCACTCAACGCGTGCTCTGTCCACACCCGCCGGGCTGAAGCAATTTTCGTGGACATGTCGCGGGGGCTACTCCGACTCTGTGATGGTGCTGAGCAACGCTGTCAATGCCTCGCTGTCCTGAGGCTTTGCTGTGCTCTTGCTCGCTCGAGCATTTGACACGCGTGCGGGGCAAATTAGTCAATGCCACGCTTTCCTGTGGCACTTCCTGCTATGAACGCGAAGCGCCTGAGGCGGCGGAGAGCTCGAGAGATCCATCCAAAATGCTGTCGCACGACGAAGGCAGAATCAAGACGAAATCGGACCGATATAACTCGGAAACCTCTGATAATCGGCGGGTTTGGAGGATTTATTGGGAGCCGCGGCCGTTTCAGAGCGTTCCAGAACGCTCTGAGAGCGTTCACGGATTTATTTCGATTGTAGGCCCGTCCGATGTGGGCCCCATCGTCGTCGTCGTCGTCGTCGTCGTCGTCGTCGTCGTCGTCGTCGTCGTCGTCGTCGTCGTCGTCGTCGACTAGGCCCGTCCGATGCCGTTACCCCTCTGTGGACGCCCGAAATGGGTACGGACGAGATTCTCACGATGCCCATCAACAAATGCTGCCTGAAAACGACACTGGCCGCTGTTGGGCAGGCGGCCTCCCGTCTCAAATGGACACGGTCAGCTGCGACGCCGACGGCGAGTCATGTTCAAACTTGGCGGCGCACACAAGGGGGTGGAGGGAGGGGGGAGGGCCTCTTAGAAGGCGGCTGCTCCTTGGATGGCGCCGGCCTTACATTGATAGACACGGCCCGCGCCTTCTACGGGAGCAGGGGGGTGCTTCTAGGAAGCCCTCCCCCCTCCCCCCCAACCCCCTTCTGCGCGTGGCTGCCAAATGAACATAGGATGCCGTCGGCCTCTGCACCCGTCGGCCTTCCCGTACCCGACCCCTCGGCTCGCACCGGACGAGTGCCGGCCGCCTGCGCCAGGAGCCGCGGGCCCGGCTCTGGCGGCCCGGCGCCGGGCCGCGCGGGGGCGGCCGCCGGCAGGCAGCGGGGGGTCGCGGGGACGCCCTGCGCTCGCGCAGGTGGCGGGGGGGGGCGCGAGGGGGGAGGGCCCTCTGCTGCTGATGCTGCTGCCGCTGCTGCTCCGCCTCCTCCCCGTTCTCCTCCTTCCCCTCCCCCTCCTCCTCCTCCTCGTCCTCCTCCTCCTCGTCCTCCTCCACCACCTCCACCTCCTCCTCCTCCTCGGTCCCCTCCTCCTCCTCCTCCTCCTCCTCCTCCTCCTCCTCCTCCCCGCCTCTCCTCCTCCTCCTCACTCTCTTCCTCCTCCCCTTGTTCCTCTCCCCTCCTCGCTCCTCTCCTTCTCTCCGCCTCCTCCTCTTCTTTCTCCTTCTCTTACTCCCTCCTCCTCTTCCTCCTCCTCCTCCTCCTCCTCCTCTTCTTTCCTCCTCACCATATGATTATTATTAGTATTATTATTATTGTTATTAGTAGTATTATTATTGTTACTATTATTATGTTTATTGCTATCATCATTATTATTAGTATTATTGTTATTATTATTACTATCATCATCATCATCATCACCATCATCATCATCAGCATCATCATCATCATCATCATCATCATCATTGTTATACTTATTAGTATAATTGTTGTTATTATTATTACTATTATTAGTACTATTATTATTTGTATTATCAGTATTACTACTATTATTGTTATCGTTATTATTATTATTATTAATATTATTATTATTAGTAT